AGAAACCCTGTCTCTAAAACAGAAAAATACTTAACGTAGGAAAATCTCTTCCTAGTTGTCTTTTAAGCTGCCTGGAGAATAGTCTCCTTTCTCGAGGTCCGGTATTTGGTACACCATCCCAGCCTGGGTCGAAGAGGAAGGAGGAAAAGATAAAAGATGCATCTCCTCCGCTATTGGCCGGATTCTAGTCATGTGACCACAGCTCGCTGCTGCATCCAGGGAAATGTAGTCCACTCTGGAAAGGCTACTTAAAAGGGAAATTGACTGAGGTAACTGAAGTGTTGGACTTTGTTGAGGTTAGTAAGCCAGGAGACATTTCAGTGGGGAATGAGTTTACTGCACACGCAGACGGAAATGAGTTCGAATCCCTAAACTATACAAAGAACCAGGTGTGGTGGCTCGCCTGTTATTGCCGCACACCACAAGGAAAACTGAGATAGGGATCCCTGAAGCTCCGTGGCCGCAAACCTAGCTCAGTCACTGAGCGGCAGGTTCAGTGAGAAAACCTGTCCAGAAAACAAAGTGGAGTGTGGCTGAGGTGGTGCATGCCATTAATCCCAGCACTAGGGAGGCAGAGACAGGCAGATCTCTGTGAGTTCAAGCCCAGCCTAGTCTACAAGAGCTAGTTCCAGGACAGGCTCCAAAGCTACAGAGAAATCTTGTCTCGAAAAAACAAAGGCAAAAGAAAAAATAAGATAAAAACAAAGTGGAACTAGGGGATGATGTCCACACCCTCAATTTCACATGATGTAAAGCCAAAAGCAGACAGAACTCTGAGTTCCAGGCCAGCCAGGACTACTCAGAGAGACAATGTCTAAAAGAAAAAAAAAGTGGAACCACTCCACCACCAATTTTTTTAATTATTTATTTATTTATTATGTATACAATATTCTGTCTGTGTGTATGTCTGCAGCCAGAAGAGGGCACCAGACCTCTTTACAGATGGTTGTGAGCCACCATGTGGTTGCGGGGAATTGAACTCAGGACCTTTGGAAGAGCAGGCAATGCTCTTAACCTCTGAGCCATCTCTCCAGCCCCCCCACTACCAATTTTTGAGAGAGTCACTGTGGCCAGCAGCTTCCTGCCGTTTCTGCAAGGTCCCTCCTGTCTCTCTCACCTAACTATATGGGACCACGTTTCCATCACTTGGTGGATAAAACACAGTGACCACCTAGAATAAAAGACAGTGGGCTTCATGCCCCTGTGTGCTTGCTCTTTGGTGTGGTCAGACACAGTCTTCTACAGAAAGATTTGCCTTGTGAACCCACCTGTGTTTTCTTAAGGTTCTTTCTGCTTCGTTTTTTTCCCCTTCCAAGTGCTGGGACTAAAATTCCTATGCAAAACCTGGAATATATATATATTTTTTTTCGAGACAGGGTTCCTCTGTAGCTTTGGGACATTGGAATATATGGTTTTTTGTTTTTGGGTTTGTTTTTTTTTTTGAGACAGGGTTTCTCTGTGGCTTTGGGAGCCTGTCCTGGAACTAGCTTTGTAGACCAGGCTGGTCTCGAACTCACAGAGATCTGCCTGCCTCTGCCTCCCGAGTGCTGGTATTAAAGGCGTGCGCCACCATGGGAATATATATATTTTTTTCACTCACCGTAGCAACATTTTACCACTTTTAGTATAAGAGTCTAACATAACTCTCGCTAGCTTTATTCCCAGGTTTATAACTTTGTTCAGGTTTATGGTTTATCTTTATTTTATTTTTTTAAATGTTTATTTATTTATTATGTATACAATATTTTGTCTGTGTATATGTCTGTAGGCCAGAAGAGGGCACCAGACCTCATTACAGATGGTTGTGAGCCACCATGTGGTTGCCGGGAATTGAACTCAGGACCTTTGGAAGAGCAGACAATGCTCTTAACCGCTGAGCCATCTCTCCAGCCCCTGGGGAATATATGTTTTAATATAATTTACAGCACATATTTCTATGTGACACCTCTCGGAGTATATGTTTTAATGTAATTTACAGTACATATTTGCAACAATGGTGAGACTCAAGCCAAACATTTCTGGACAGTGGTGGCACACACTTTTTTCCCTTCGAGACTGGGTTTCTCTGTGTATCCTGGCTGTCCTAGAACTCGGTAACCCAGGCTGACCTGCTGAGTGCTGGGATTAAAGGTGGGCACCACCACCGCCCTTTGATTTTGGTCCACAACTTTAATCCAAGCACTCTGGAGGCAAAGGCAAGCAGATTTCTAATCTGAAGGTCTGGTCTACACAAGGTAACTGTGAAAAAGCTAGATAGCTGTGGTTCACACCAGCATCCTGACACTCTAGAGGCTGAGGCAGGGGAGACTGCCTCAGTGAGTAAGGTTGCTGTGAGCAGGTGTACAGGCTCAGTTCCTGTCATCCCAGCACTTGGAGAATTAGAAACTCGGGCTTACATAGGAAATTTCCAGGCCAGCCCCAGTTTCAAAACACGAGTTGTTTTTTTTTTTTTTTTACCCTAACCTAAGGAGCCAAGGGGGCTTTTGAAACTGAGATGAGAAGTTAGAGTTGGTACAGGGGCTCTGGAAGTTTTTAAATCGAGCTAAGACAAAAGGAGGGGTGGTGCGGTCCAATCTGAATGCCATCATGCATGTGAAGGGCAGGGAAAACAGTTTTGACACAGGTCTTTCTTTATTGCCCCGATGGCCTCAAACTCCCAATCCTCCTGCCTCGGCCTCCCACTGGCTGGGAATATTTATTTATATTCCCAATTCTATATTACTTATTGATGTCGAAAGCATCACCCCAGCTTCCTAACACTCCTTAATACAACAAGTCTGGATTGTTTGCCTGGGGACTTTGCCCCAGCTCCTGGCATAAGACCCCTCTCCAGGGAGGGTCAAAACCACTCCCACAGCTATTTAAACTGCCCCTCCCCCATGAACAGGTAGTCTTCGCTTTCCTCCCCCCCCTCCTCGCTTTCCTGGGGCCACCCGGGAACATTGCATTAAACATGGGCATCTTTTATTCGGTTTCATTTGGTCTAATTGCAATTATTTGGTGGGCGGAGAGGTCCGTCTTATGAAATCCCTAACAGCTATATTGGCAGCTTTTAGGGGGTCTGCGTCTGTGTGCTTTGGAGGAGGCCAGCCATGTGCACGCCGAGCCCGGATGTGCTCACCACGCCAGTACCACAGGCCAAGCAAGCCCTGCACCTGCCAGCAACCGCTCGCGGGAACAGCGACACCTGCCCGACCGTGTCCTGGTTCACCCCAACTCTTCCTCCAAAGCACCAGCACAAGCGAGAGTCACCCAATACACCGTGAAGGGAAGAACGTGCGCCTTTAATGAGCGCCCTCGGGGTCGAGCGAGCCCCGCTCCCCGGCGAAAGGCGCGGGGCGGGGCGGAGCTGGAGTGGGCGTGGCCGCAGCGTCAGTAAGGAGAACCGGGAGGGGGCGGGACTTCTGTGTATTTGGAGGCCAAGGAGGGACCTGAGAAATGGCTCACCCCGGAAGGGGTGCTTACTCTCAAGCATGACTACCAGGGGTTCGATCCTCGGGACCCATGTGGGACCCATGATTAAAGGAAATAATTCCAGCAAAATGTCCGCCGACATCCACGTGGGAGGCGTGGAAGGCGCGCACCCACACCCCCGCGAACTCGTCTCCAAACCTGACTGAACCCATAAGGTGGAAGATGAAAAACCATCTTGTAAATGTTGTCTTTTGACGCCCACAAACATATGTGCGTCTCCCCGAACATATGCTCTTTAAAGCAAAGAGACCGTGGGACTGGAGAGATGGCTCAGAGGTTAAGAGCACTGACTGCTCTTCCAGAGGTCCTGAGTTCAATTCCCAGCAGCCACTTGGTGGCTCACAGCCATCTGTAATGAGATCTGGTGCCCTCTTCTGGCCTGCAGGCATGGAGGCTGAACACTGTGTATATAATAAATGAATAAACCTTTTAAAAAAAAAGAGAGAGAGAGACCGCATGGCCTCGAGCCAACAAAAATAGGAGGCAACTGGAGCTTTTTTAGGGTTTTGGTTTTTCAAGACAGGGTCTCTAATGTGTCACAGCCCTAGCTGTCCTGGAATTAGCTCTTGTAGACCAGGCTACTCCCAGAGATCTGCCTGCCTCTGCCTCCCGAGTGCTGGGTGCTGGGATTAGATTAAAGGCGTGTGCCACCACCGTCCTGCTTTTTTTTTTTTTTTTTTGGTTTTTGGAGACAGGGTATCTCAACTATGGAGCCAGTCCTGGAACTCACTCTGTAAATCAGGCTGGCCTCGAGCTCAAGGAGATCCGCCTGCCTCTGCCTCCCGAGAGAGTTCAAAGGCCTGCACCACTACCACCTGGTTCGGGAGTGCTTCTAAGCCCTTCAGAAGCAAGACTAAAGGGGCGTGGTGGGGCACACCTTTAATTTCAACACTCTGGAGGGGGGGAGGGCGAGTGGTCCACACAACAAATTCCAGGAAAGGCGGGGTGCACGGTGACCTCAGGAGTCCGACTGAAAACGGGGCAGTGGGCCCCAGCATGAACACTTTTAAGAAAAGGTGGGGCCAGCGAGGTGGCACGAGGCAGTTAGGCCGTTGCCCCCAAGCCTCAGGATCTCTACCTGGGACCTACAGAGTGGAAGGAGAGAACCTACTTTCCTGAACTGCTCTGACTTCCACTCATGTACACACCAAATGAATAAGTATTTGTAATTTTTTAACCGAAGCCAGAGAAAAGGCGGATTGCACTGTGCGAGCGCGAGGAAAATGAGGCGGAGGTAGGGCTAACTTCCCCTTTAAGAAGTTAGACTCCACCCCCTAGTGGGCGTGACCAAAGCCAGCGCCTTAAAAAATAAGCACAGGGGCGGGTGGGGGCGATTGGTCAGATCCTCGGGCGGTGGCGCTCGGGCGCGCTTGCGCTGCACGCAGCTCCCGCCTCTCGGCGGGGGCGGGGGGGGGAGGAGCCAGCTACCGCTTTTATTGGCTCTCGCTCAAGCCCCGCCCTCCGATCGAGGGCCGTCACGTGACGCGACGGCTGGGGCCTCCCGGCGCGGGGGGACGCTAGTGGCCAAGATGGCGGCGGAGCTGGTGGAGGCCAAAGTGAGTGAGCGGCGGCGGCGCGGGCTGGGGCCGGCGGGTGGCGCGGTGCGGACGGCGCCTCGCAGCCAGCCGGGAGGGCGAGCTGAGGGATGTGGGAGTACCGGTCGGCTGGGACGCGACCGGGACGCGGGCTGAAGCTGCGGGCGGGGGGCGGGGAGACCGGGGGCGGGGTCGCCAGCACCGTCTTCGGAGTGTTGCCGTCGCCTCCTGTCACTCCATTTCCGACCGGAGCTGGAAGTCCCTACAGTGTGGGGACGCAGCTTCCCCGGTGCAGGCACTGTCCCTTCTTTTGGGACAGCCCTACTGGGACAGGCCTGGAGGGTCCCCTGTGGTCTCCTAAGCCTAAGGAATGCAGAGAGTGACTTCTCCATCCCGTCTCCAAGGCAACGAGGAGGACTCAGGTCCGGGTCCCCGCATCTCTCCTCGCCTACGGGACAGCATGGGGAAGGTCTGCAGGGAGTGCCACAAGTCCTCTGATTCTCGGGGTCCCCATTGGCACCTCCCCCTAGTGAATAAGTAAGACTCCAGACTCAGTCCAGCTATGAGTTCCGGGGTTCATTTTAGAGTCTCCGAGTCGCCGAGAACCGCCCCTCCGTCCCTTACACACTGGCTGTCCCCTGTCCTCCTGGGAAGGTCCCCAGCCCCCTCTGTTGCCTTCGGGGGTCCAGTCAGCAATGGGGTACCACATTCTCCAGTAATCCTTACACTGTACTCCACCTTTAATCTCGACATCCTGGGGTTTCGGGCTCCCTGACAGCCCACCCAACCCACCACCCCCTTTTTTCCTGTGTTGCTCCCCAGATTGATCCCTGAACTGAGTCCAAGGGAGGACTGCTTAGGCCTGTTCCCCCCATTTCTGCTTTGAGGTGCCAGGGCTCTGTCCCTCCACCGGGTGAGTCCCCATTAAACCTCCCTGAGGCGTGGCTCAGCATCGCCACCTTCCAGTGCTGTCCTGTCTCCCAGCACACTCGTCCCTCCTGAGTTCCTGCTGGACCTCAGCCTCCCTCAGGCATCTTCCCACCCATAAAGTCACAACTTGTACCCCTTCTTTTCTGATTCTCCTGTTACATGGCTCTTCCCTGTCCCACTTGAACCTTTTGGGGTTCTAGACATTCCAATTAAAAAATGTATCCCTCTCCCCCCTCCCCCCGTTCATTCACCCAAAATGTACACCATGTTCATAGTCAGAGTTTTGGGATACTCAAGATACTGTGAAGGTCCCAGGCACAGTCTTACTGCTTGAAGCCCCCTTTGTAGCATCCTGGAGCATTCCAGGGCGACCAAGCTTCTTTGCCCACCTCATTCCTCAGTGGCAGGGGTGTGGTCCTTCTCTACTGGACCCTCTGGACCTCCAGCCCCACCTCAGTTGAACTTGACCCTCTTTTTTGAAGCTCTGTGATGGTCCAGGGGGACCCCATCACAACCCCTCAGAGAACATTGAGTGTAATGAAGACTCCTCCGTCTGTCACAGTGGGCTGGAGATTCTGTCCTTTGCGGTCCACTGGGGCTTATCGGAGGCGATGGTGGCATTTGAGGATGACTGGACCATTCAGCAGGCCCTGTGGCAGGCCTTCATCCTTTGTCAGGGGTCTTGGCTTTCCAAAGAGCCTGGTCTAGTGACTGTTGCCCCAGGTGGAAAGCTTTAGACACCATGGAGCTGCCACTGTTTATAAACCCAGCCCTGGTAGCCATGCCCAGGCGTGAAGTGCACTCTGGGCGATAGATGGAGACATCTTGCTGTGTCCTGTCCTAGTACTATGCTGTCCCTAGCAGGCTGCTGGGGCATAGCAGCTGCTGGGAAACCCAACCCAGACCATATGGCAACGACCTATGTGCTAGGATGTTTGCCATCCGTCATGGGTGACGGGACTCCCCCTGGCTCTGGCACCCCTCTCCTCGGTCTTTAGGGCTTGGGCTTGTTCTAGTACAAACGTGCTAACTACATGCTGTGTGTGCTGCGTGGCCCTGCTTGAGGTAGGAAGTCAAGGCTCCTTTGAGGGTGCCCAAGGGCCACATACACTGGAGTCCCTGGAGAGTCAGGACTCCCCAGCAAGAGGTCTAAAGCCTGGTAGCCACTGGCCAAACTCCATCCCAGCCCGTTGTACCAAGAGGCCTCACATCATGCTGTTGTAGTTGGCAACCCAAGTCCCAGGTGATCTGGGAGCCTCCTGGGACACTGATCTTGCTCCCAAGGGCCATGTGCCCCAAGTGATCAGGTGGGTACCAAATGTGATGGATTCCTGAGACTAGGACCTGTGGGCTGGTCAGGTGTGCTTTCTGTGTCTTGCAGGCTTCTTTGGGGCTCATGGCCTGAGTCAGCTGCCTGTGTCCCCTCCAGCCACTTGGACCATCAGCCAGTCCCATGGAAGTTCCTCTCTATCTCCAATTTTCATTGAATTCAATCCAGCTGCAGAACTTAACACAGGAGGCCCAGGGCCTGGCTGGGCTGTCCCTCAGGGAGACTTGGTCCTTCCACCTGGGGGGCCTGCCATGCCCTCATGTCAGCTGTTGTGAATGCAGGCCCCACCCGAGGGACCCCGATACATCTGTCCCTGGGCCTTTCTATCATCTAATACTGTGTCATCAGCTTGGTCACTGACCTGTGCAGCTGCTTGGTTTCAGGCACCAGCTGTTCTCATGTAGGCCCATCCTGCTCCTGGGCACCCTGGGTGATGCCCGGGGAACTGGCATGGTTGGGTGGAGACCAGGTACAGGGTCCAGGACACCTCACTGTAAGACTGGGTCCAGTCCACAGTGCCCTGGGGGCCTTGCCCGAGACTAGCAAATCCTACCTAGTCTGGGTAGCACACATGGGAAGGGGTTTAAGAGGCCTCCACAGGGTTCAGTCCTGACACCTCTGCCCAGGAGTGCTGTCTTAGGACAAAGCCATGCCCCTGCCATAGCCAGGGCAGGCAGTCCTTCTGTTTCATGTACACCTCCCTCCAGAAGAGGAGGCTGTGAGGGACAGGAAGGGGTTCTGGTGGACGGCACCCAGGCATGTTAGAGGGCAACCGCTGAGAGCCGCTGTGGTCACCCTTCCACAGAACATGGTGATGAGCTTCCGAGTATCGGACCTACAGATGCTTCTGGGCTTTGTGGGCCGCAGCAAGAGTGGGTTGAAGCATGAGCTGGTGACCAGGGCCTTGCAGCTGGTGCAGTTCGACTGCAGTCCTGAGCTCTTCAAGAAGATCAAAGAGCTGTATGAGACACGCTACGCCAAGAAAAACGTGGATCCCAGCCCACAGGCGCCACGGCCCCTGGACCCCCTGGCTCTGCACTCCATGCCCAGGACTCCCCTGTCAGGGCCCACCGTGGACTACCCTGTGTTGTACGGGAAGTACTTGAATGGACTGGGACGCCTGCCCACCAAGGCCCTTAAGCCTGAAGTGCGCCTGGTGAAGTTGCCCTTCTTCAACATGCTGGACGAGTTGCTGAAGCCCACCGAGCTGGGTGAGTGATGGGTATCGGCTGGGGGATCCCCACAGTAGGCTCAGCCACTGGGCCACATGCCATAGGAAGGCATGGCAGGTCACACTGGTCATCTCAGCATTTAGGGGCTGAGGCAGTAGTATTGTGAGTTCTGGGCTACAGGGCGAAACTGTTTTTAAAAAACAGCAATGACTGAGAACGTAGGTACCGTAGTGAGCAGAGCATTCACTGGCCTGCTGACCAGCACTGAGGCCTGGCAGCATGTACCTCTCCTCCCAGCTCGACAAGGGGAGTGCCGTAAGTCTGAGGTTAGCCTTGGCAAATAGATTCCGACTTTAAAAAAAAAAAAAAAAAAGCTGGGCATGGTGGCAAACTCAAGTTATCACAGCACTTGGGGGGGAGATACAGAAGGATCAGCAGTTCAAGGTCACTCTCAACCAGCCACTGGGCCAGTTTGAGACCCTATCTCAAAAAAAGCAGATGCAAATGGAGCTAGCTGTGTTCCAAGCTGTCAGGTTAGGTTGTCAGGTGGCCTAGACCATCAGACCACCGTCAGTGGGGCACAGATGGCCCTGGGAGGCCCACATCTAGGTCTCTCCTGCCTAGAGCCCAGAGGTTGGTCCCAGCACTTGGCAGACTTACCCTCACATCCCTGTGGCCTGTTCTCCACTGAGTGGTCCCTTCCTGCTGTCGCAAGGCCGTTCGTTACCCTTGTCCTGGGACTTGGTGGGGAGTTATGTTTAATTGGGACTGCTGCAAGCACCTGAGGAAGGATGGCACTTGGCCTGTCTGAGGGCTGCTTCTGTGACCTGAGGCCCCACCCCCTGGCTCGAGGCTCCACCCTTAGCCTGAGACTCCACCCTCCATGGCACTGAAGCTTGCTTATGGCAGAGCCTTCTGGCCCTGCCACCTTCTTTTTTTTTTTAAAGATTTATTTATTTATTTATTTATTTATTATGTATACAACATTCCTTCCATGTATGTTTGTATGCTAGAAGAAGGCACCAGATCTCATTATAGATGGTTGTAAGCCACCATGTGGTTGCTGGGAATTGAACTCAGGACCTTTGGAGGAGCAGGCAATGCTCTTAACCACTGAGCCATCTCTCCAGCCCCCCCTGCCACCTTCTTGCCATGCTTCAAGTACTGCAATCTTGCCTTTTCCAAGGTTTCCACAGCCCTTGGCAGCTAATCATCTTGAGGATGACCCAAGTGCCAGGGAATTGGTCCCCCTGCCTGCCAGACTGCATGGAGGGCTTCCTTCCTGCAGAGCAAGCCAGCCGTCACTCTGCCCCACAATGCAATGCTGTGCCCTGAGCCCCCAGGGACCCTGGTCACCTGATCTCCGGGAGAGCATGCTCCCCTGTCTACCCCAGCAGCTTGAACAAAGAGGACTAGCCCGCCTCACCTGCCTTCCCACCAGGGCACCCGCTTCCCTGGTCCCACACCCTGAGGGGCTCCTGGATCAGGAGCTCTGATCCTGGGCCTAAGACCATGATCCCTCAAGCTCTAAACCCCGTTATTTCACAGGCCTGCCCAGCCCTGACCTGGGCCCCCCAAGCACAAGCCAGTTCATGGTGGTCAGCCCCTTGCCCAGGCCAGAATGAGCCCCATGCTCCTTCAGGATTCCCCGGAAAAGCTGCCTGCTCATCCTGCATCGGGCAGACAGAGCCCATAAATCACCTGAGCACGCAGAGTGGGAGGGAGGAGGGCCACAGGCCAGCTGCAGACCAGGGCGCACTAACATCTGTTTAAAGAGGGCTGCTGACCAGAGAGGGCAAGGGGCTCATACGCGTACACACGGCAACCTGAGCTCCTACCCCGCCCCCCCCCCCCCCCCCCCCCCCCCCCCCCCCCCCCCCCCCCCCCCCCCCCCCCCCCCCCCC